TCACATTTACACACAAATATACATTCATAGGAACTACAGATTGGAGTCCTATTACTATAGGTACTGACAAACATAATTTACAGCTGTAAAATTGATATAAGAATATTTATTAAAACACTCTCATGAGTTAAAGTAACTAAACATGTGAGCAGCCAGTATCATACTCAGAACATAATTGACACTCAATTAACTGTTGGTTTTATCATTTCTCAAATATTATATTAGTTTTACCAATGGGATTATACCTTCCTTGACTAGGGGCACAGAAAAAGAATACATATACATTTTATATTAAGAAGTATAAATATATAAATTATATATTTAAAAATGTAGTCTTTAACTTTTGTTATATAAATATACTAGAGGCCCGGTGGAGGATGACCCTCAGCTCAGCCTGCACCATCTCCAATCTGGGACCCCACAGGGATTGGGCCTAAATCAGCAGTCAGACATCCTTCTCGCAATCTGGGACTGCTGGTTCCCAACCACTTGCCTACCTGCCCACCTGATCACTCCCTTACTGTCCTCCCCTGCCAGCCCAGTCACCCCTAACTACCCTCCCTTATCCACCCGATTGCCCTCAACTGCCCTCCCCTATTAGCTTGATTGCCTACAACTTCCCCCTACCTCCCAGCTTTGTTGGCCATCTTGTGGAGGCCATCTTTGACCACATGGGAGTGGCCATCTTGTGCAAGGATATGAGGGTCAATTTGCATATTACCTCTTTATTATATAGGATGTTTATGTATTAATAATTATTACATATCATATTTATATTACATGCCATATATATTTTGTATTGTTTACATTTACATAAATATAATATGCACACATAAATATATTCTGTCAGCTCAAGAAACTCCTAATTTTATGTATTATATTTATAAGCAAAAAATGGCATAGTCCTAAATAAGTCATATTCTAACTATATTTATTTGCAATCTTGAATTAATCAGGATGCTTATAGGACTGTGGTTCAAAATATGTTGAAATATCTATGCATATCCTATCTAACAAAAGAGTAATATGCAGATTAACCATCACTCCAACACACAAGATGGCTGCCCCCCTGTGGACACAAGATGGCCAGCAGGGAGGGCAGTTGGGAGAGACCAGGACTGCAAGGTAGGGCAGTTGAGAGCCAACATGCTGGCAGGAGAGCAGTTAGACATCAATCAGGCTGGCAGGGGAGTGGTTAGGGGTTAATCAAGCTGGCAGGCAGAAGCAGTTAGGGGCAATCAGGAAGGCAGGCAGGCAAGCAGTTGGGAGCCAGCAGTCCTGAATTGTAAGAGGGATGTCTGCCTGCCCAGGTGAGATTGGGCCTAAACGGGCAGGCAGACATCCCTCAAGGGATCCCAGATTGGAGAGGGTGCAGGTTGGGCTGAGGGACATGCTCCCCCCCACCCCGTGCATGAATTTCATGCACCAGACCTCTAGTATTAATTATATAAAACTGTAGATACCATACTACTATTAACATACTTTAGATGATACAATTATAATTTATTTCCACATGTGTCAAACACAAGGCCCGCGGGCCAAATTCATCCCGCCAGGCCTTGCAATGTGGCCCGCACCGCGCTGTCATCACTGCACTCCGCTGCGTTTCCATCACAATGACAGTTTATGACTGTTCAGTAAACCATTCGGCCGCGATTTAGGCTGGATTTTAGATTTTGGCCCCTTCTCTGATTGAGTTTGACACCCCTACTTTAGATGATACAATTATAATTAATTGGAAATAAAAGCTACCTTGAAACCATCAAAAACTTTTTTTAAGTTTTAGGTTATGTTTGCTAAATGTACAAAATTTGCAGATGGTAGCCTTATAGACACTTCTAAGAATCCTCACAACTTCATAAAAACTATCAGGCAAGAAAGCTTGCAGTAAATAAAAAATATATATATATTATTTTCCATCAGTGATATGATGCAATAAATAATAATGAAATTAACTTATTTGCCATCATGTGACATCTGTAAATGACAGATATTAAGTCAGCCTTTTCATATGTCCATGGGGCATGTATGTGGGTTTCTATAGAAAATTGAAACAGAGAGGTATGATGACTGATCTAAATCATCTACCGTAAGTCACACAGAAACTTAGCCATGGCCATGAGAACAGAATCCAGATCCCCTGGCTCAGTTCAGTGTATCACCTATTGTATCAAGTTGTTTTCCTTGGCTATAGAAAAAAAGAGGCCTGGGAGACATATAATCTAACTATTCTTCTGGATTGATTTTTACAAAACACCTGGGAAGCAGGCCCAGAGCAATTGAGACATCTGAGAAGTTTGTAAGTATTGTTTTCAAGGGATTAATAGCATAGAAGCTCTCTCACTCATCTTTAGAAAGAAATATGTGACACCAGATGGTAGGTCACAGGCCTGGCATCATAAGGAACAGAGATTTAGGAATACTTTCACTGTACCCAGAGAGAAGGTACAGGAGAAGAAAGGAGGGTATTGGTTCCCCCCCCCACCCAATTACAGTATAAACCTGCTTGAAACACCTGATTAGATCCTCAAAGAGGAAAGATAATAACAAGTAGCTCAGCGAACAGTTTGGAATGTGATAGGTAAGATATTACCCAAAATTGTGCAAATGTCTCCCAGTCTTGATGACAACTTCCATGCAGAAACTTTGCAATCACCACAGTAATTTAAAGCAGAGGTGGTTATTGCTGCCATTCCATACAGATCCAGAATGTGTTTAATTCCTTCATTTCAACTTACATTATATTTCACATTTGTGTTTTTTAGAATTACTCTAAAAAGTTATTGCTGAATATGTAGATTTAATTTCTTGCCAACTTAGTAAAGGGGAGAAGGAATAATAACCCTTTCTGAAGAGGGCAGCTGGAGGATACGGTCAGAAGACCAAGATTCCTCTGAGATGGGGGATGAAGATACTTGAAAAGGCGTATCTGTGCCCAAAGCATCTATTGCAAAGCAAACAGAGCCAAATATGGAAAATGAAAGACAGTTGCGAAAATATTTCCAAAGAAGTGATGTCACTTCAATTGAGCTATCATCATAAATAAGAGTTCCTATATAATGTCCTCATAAACTAAAGGAAGAGATTCCTATATTTCCCCCCAAAATAAAGGGCAAGTAATCTTGACTTGTTGGGGCAGCATGAGATGGGAGGGCATATACAATCCACTGCTGCTGTTAGCTGCATAGATGTAGAATGAATTCAGCTTGTGGGTCTAGCCTGCAGGTACTCTGCCCGATGACCGATTGGCATAATCAGGCCATGTGTCCCAAACTTCCAGAAGCGGTGGGTATTGTGGGAAAATATAAATTGAACACATCTCAGAGGCAGCCTGGTACTGATCTTTGGAGGCCAATATGTTTCAACTCAGACCCCAAAGTAAATATTTACCAGTCGTGGTAAAAGTTTAATTGTAGGGCAGAGCCAGCAGCTGAGGAAGCAAGGAGAGGCAAATCATACTTCCTGGCTGTGCTTTGCTTATGGTGGTATAATGACCTACTGCACCCATGTGAGCAGGTTCTTGGTCCTGCGCTTACTTCATCGGCACTCCAGTTTCACTTTAAAGAGCTTAAAGGAGCTAATTTTACAACCTGATTCTTGTCATTTTCCAGATTTGTATTATAGGGAGTTTCCTTTGTGAATTCCATTTGTACAATAAGAGGATATTATACACATCAGGTGTTTTGCTGGAGTGTGTTATCAATACTTAGGACTCTGTGTCTTTAGGATTAGTGGTGATGAGAAAACAGGAAGTCTCAGAAGAAAAACATTTAGCTCAGGCAAGGAATTTATATTCTAGTTAGCACAAGATAGAATTAAAAGGAAAATTAAAGTGGTTCCTATGGCAAGGAATGCCAGATCTTTCTATGACCCAAGAGGAAGACTTTTTTCGTTCTAGGCTCAGTCACTAAGCATTCAGGGGAGGGTCTTATGTCAGGGCAGCACACAGGATGTCTGGAAACATAGTGACAAAGGGAAATGTCTCCTCAGGGAGGCCAATGGCCTTTTCCATAACTTAAATGTCTCCCTGCAGATCAAAGTGTTTCACTGACCTAATGCACTGAACTCTCTCCAGTCCTGGTTTTATAAACTAGGAAACAGGTCCTATGCTAGTTAGTCATAGCCAGAGAGGCTAGCCCAGCATTTTGCACCACACTCCTTCAGGATTCCTTTCTAAATGGCCAATTTTCCCAGTAAGCATTACAAGAAAAAAAAATTCTTTAAGGCAATAATTTGAAAAGTAATATTCTCTCTCTTCTCTCTCTCTCTCTCTCTCTCTCTCTCTCTCTCTCTCTCTCTCTCTCTCTCTCTCTCTCTCTCTCTGCCTCCCTCCCTCCCTCCCTCCCTCCTTCCCTCCCTCCCTTTTCTTTTTAAACCCAGGCTTCAGTGAGCGCCCTCAAAAAAAAAAAAAAAAAAAAAAAGAAAGAAAGAAAAAGCGCCTTTTAGAGAAACCGTTTGCAGGCAGAACCACTTGTGCACTTGTGTTCCCCAACACTTGTTTCCACTTCCCACCATGGTCCCTTCTCTGGGCCAGCAGCGGCGGCTGCGTCTGAAGTAACAAACACCACCAGGCGGACACCCGGAGGAGACACTTGAGCCCCAGACTAGGATACTAGCAGAAGCTCTCCCCTCACCCACAGCGAAGATCCCACACCAGAGCATGTGGAAACCTTCACCGAATTCATCTATTTGCTTTTCCAGTTCAGCCCACCCACCGTTCAGAGTTTGAAAGTCCTTCCCTCCGCAAAAAAAAAAAAAGTGGATTTCTTCTCCTCCTCCCACCCTCCTCTGCAAACACTCCTAGGTCCAAACCTTTCTTGTTAGAACTAGTGGCAACGCAGGCATTTCATTTGGGGATCGCGCCTGTGCCTGCTCTGTAGCGCCGAATTCCTCTCTCCATTAACTCAGTTATAAACGCCGCCGGCTTGTTTTTTGTTTTTTGTTTAAATTATTATTCTAATTCTCTCTCAAACTCACAACCTGTGGACCGCGGCTCTGACCCGTGCAGCGCGGAGGGAGCTGCGGGCTCGAGCTCCGATGCCGGACCAGGTGACGCCTCGTCGCAGTCTTCAGAGGCCAGTGCCCCCACGCGGGCTCCTCCAGGGGGGTCAGGATTGACAGGCGCCCTGGGCAGGAGACCATGACCGCGCCCCTCTGCCCCTCGCCTCTCTGCACCCCTGTAGCTCCAGTTCCATCGGCCAGCCGGTGACTATTGGCTGAAGTTCCCCGGCGATTTGCATGAGCGGAGAGGGAGAGGGAGAGGGAGTGTCTTCCGCCGCCAGGAGCGCGCCCGCCGCAGCCTCCCGGGGAATGCGCGGCCGGCGGGGAGCGCGCCGCTCGCGGGCCCTGGCACAGAGCGGGCGCCCGGCGCCCTGGCACCCGCGCCCGGATATGGGGCGGCTCGGTCGTCCCGGCAGCTGCAGCACCAGCCGGAGGAGAAACCTGCCGGTAAGGGGGGCCCGGGGGCTGGGGCGCAGAGGCCCCGCCACAAGTTGCGGTACCGCGGGCAGTTCCCACGCCCGGAGGGTTTGCAAACCTTTTCCCTTCATCCAAACTTCGCGGGAAGGCTGGGCGGAGGGAGAGGGAGTTTGGGATCATGCATCTGCATTTTAGCAAGGAACAGGCAAGACCTTGGGGGTCGTGAGAGGAAGTTTCTGAGGCTGAAATGTAGGCGGGTGAGGTGGAGGGGCGGGGGATGGGGTGCGGGCTCCATCCTCTTCAGAGAGGGGGTCCGAGATCTGTCCCCGCTGCCGGCGTCTGGCTGGCTCTCCTGCGATTGGCACATTGTTTTCGCGCAATCGTTTTCCGCGTTTACTTCTTTTCCTCCCGGGGAGGGGGGGGGTCAGTCAGGGCTTCCCTACGTGATGTGATGGAGATCCAGATCTTTGGGATTGCATTGCAGATCCTTGCTGAAACGAATATGACTTCTTCTGGCGTAAAGTGTTTATTTAATGCGGGGGGTTGGGGGGGGGGGAGAGAAGGAGGGGTGTCCGAGCCCCGAAAGGGTTACTCTATTTTCCGTATTATTATTATCATGAAGGATAAGTGTTATTGCTGCTGTCGGTTTCATAATAAGGGATGCAACTCATTTCGCGTTCCGGGGGCTTTTCGCGTTATAAATATTTCTATGAAATAAATTGATAAAAGTGCCCACCTCTCAGTCCTCTCCACCAACAGCCCCCCTCCTCCGCCCCTCCCCCCCCCAGTCCCTCCCCTCCCCGGGTGGCTTCCCTGCCACCTTGCGCAGCCCAGAGCAGGTCCTCCCCGCGCCGCTGGTCCCCAGGGAGGCTCTGGGTTAGGGACCCCGGACATCCCCTGCGCGAGAGTGGGGATAGGCAGCGGGGGTAGAAAGTAAACAGGAGAAAAAAATATATAAGTTTTGGGGGAAAAAATAAGTTTAGATCTCTTCTTCGCAGCAAGTTTCCTCTTCAGCCCGCCCCAACCTGAGAGGGTTTGCCTCCAGGGATGGTGGTGAGGGCAGCCTGACCCGGGCCTTGGCTCTACCTTCTCTCTGGGTTAGAAGCCACCAGGCAGCCGGTGTGTAATGAGGATTCTCTCCTCCTTCCCCCACTTGCAGCCTCTGCTTCTGTGTCTCCTCTTCGTGGGACCCTTCCACTGCCTGGCCAGCTACAGCCGGGCCACGGAGCTCCTGTACAGCCTGAACGAGGGGCTGCCGGCCGGCGTGCTCATCGGCAGTCTGGCCGAGGACCTGCGCCTGGCGCCCCGCGCCCCGGGCCGGCCGGACCCGCAGCCCCCGCAGCGCGCCCCGCAGCCCGGCCCGCCGCTCTCCTTCAGCCTGGCCTCCCGCGGCCTCAGCGGCCAGTACGTGACCCTGGACAACCGCTCCGGGGAGCTGCACACGTCCGCCCGGGAGATCGACCGCGAGGCCCTGTGTCTGGAAGGAGGCGGCGGTGGAGGGGCTGCCGGGGGCGACAGCATCTCCATCGCCTCCTCCCCTTCTCCGGACTCCTGTCTGCTGCTGCTGGACGTGCTGGTCCTGCCTCAGGAATACTTTCGGTTCGTGAAGGTGAAGATCGCCATCCGGGACGTCAATGACAACGCCCCGCGGTTCCCCGTTTCCCAGATCTCGGTGTGGGTCCCGGAGAATGCACCTGTCAACACCCGCCTGGCCATCGAGCATCCCGCCATGGACCCCGATGTAGGCACGAACGGGGTGCAGACCTACCGCCTGCTGGACTACCACCGCATGTTCACCCTGGACGTGGAGGAAAATGAGAACGGGGAGCGCACGCCCTACCTCATTGTCATGGGCCTGCTGGACAGGGAGACCCAGGACCAGTATGTGAGCATCATCATAGCCGAGGACGGTGGCTCTCCGCCTCTGCTGGGCAGTGCCACCCTCACCATCGGCATAAGTGACATTAACGACAACTGCCCTCTGTTCGCAGACTCGCAGATCAACGTCACGGTGTACGGGAACGCCACGGTGGGCACACCGATCGCAGCCGTCCAGGCTGTGGATAGAGACTTGGGGACCAACGCCCAGATTACCTACTCTTACAGCCAGAAAGTTCCACAAGCATCCAAAGACTTGTTCCACCTGGATGAAACCAGCGGCGTCATTACACTTTCCAGCAAGATCGGGGGCAGTGTCCTGCAGACACACAGGCTCACCATCCTTGCTAACGGGCCAGGCTGCATCCCTGCTGTGATCACGGCCATGGTGTCCATTATCAAAGTCATTTTCAGACCGCCGGAAATCGTCCCTCGTTATATAGCCAACGAGGCAGACGGCATCGTGTACCTGAAAGAGCTGGAGCCTGTGAACACTCCGGTTGCTTTCTTCACCATCAGAGATCCAGAAGGTAAATACAAGGTGAACTGCCATCTGGATGGCGAAGGGCCGTTTAGGTTATCGCCCTACAAACCGTACAGGAACGAATATTTGCTGGAAACCACAAAGCTGATGGATTATGAGCTACAGCAGTTCTATGAGGTAGCTGTGGTGGCCTGGAATTCTGAGGGATTTCACGTCAAAAAGATTATTAAGGTTCAGCTTTTAGATGACAACGATAACGCTCCTGTTTTCCTCCAGCCCTTGATAGAGCTAACCATCGAAGAAAACAATGCGCCCCATGCCTTCTTGACGAAGTTGTACGCCACCGATGCTGACAGTGGTGAGAGAGGCCAAGTGTCCTATTTTCTGGGACACGATGCTCCATCCTATTTCTCCTTGGACAGTGTCACCGGAATTCTGACAGTTTCTACTCCGCTGGACCGAGAAGAGAAAGAGAAGTACAGGTACACAGTCAGAGCAGTTGACTGTGGGAAGCCACCCAGGGAATCGGTAGCCACTGTGGCTCTCACCGTGTTGGATAAAAATGACAACAGCCCTAGGTTCATCAACAAGGACTTCAGCTTCTTTGTGCCGGAGAACTTCCCAGGATACGGCGAGATCGGAGTAATTAGTGTAACTGATGCTGATGCTGGGCGGAATGGATGGGTTGCCCTGTCCGTGCTGAACCAGAGCGATATTTTTGTCATAGACACGGGAAAGGGCATGCTGAGAGCTAAGGTCTCTTTGGACAGGGAGCAGCAAAGCTCCTATACCTTGTGGGTGGAAGCTGTCGATGGAGGTGAGCCCGCCCTCTCCTCTACCGCAAAAATCACCATTCTCCTCCTTGATATCAATGACAACCCTCCGCTTGTCTTATTTCCTCAGTCTAATATGTCTTACCTGTTGGTTCTGCCTTCTACTCTCCCGGGTTCCCCGGTGACAGAGGTCTATGCTGTTGACAAAGACACGGGCATGAATGCTGTCATAGCCTACAGCATCATAGGGAGGAGAGGCCCTAGGCCCGAGTCCTTTAGGATTGACCCCAAAACTGGCAACATTACTTTGGAGGAGGCTCTGCTGCAGACAGATTACGGACTCCACCGTTTACTGGTGAAAGTGAGTGACCATGGTTACCCTGAGCCTCTCTATTCCACGGTCATGGTGAACCTATTTGTTAACGACACTGTCAGTAATGAGAGCTACATCGAGAGTCTTTTAAGAAAGGAGCCAGACATTAATATAGAGGAGAAAGAGCCACAGATCTCGATAGAACCCACTCATAGGAAAGTCGAATCTGTGTCCTGCATGCCCACCTTAGTAGCCCTGTCTGTAATAAGCTTGGGTTCCATCACACTGGTAACAGGGATGGGCGTATACATCTGCTTAAGGAGAGGGAAAAAGCACCCCAGGGAAGATGAAAGTTTGGAAGTACAAATTCCACTAAAAGGAAAAATCGACTTGTACATGAGAGAGAGGAAACCGATGGATATTTCTAATATTTGATACTTCATTGTGGAATAACACAGATGTTTTAATAGACATTGGATAGTCTTCACCACCTAAACAAGGTGGTATGGATGAGTTCCAATGAAGAACTACTAATTTATAACTTGTACTATATTGTAAATAGCGGTTTACAGGTTTTTAAATTCAAAATCAGAGGTTATAAAATGTGTACAGCATTTTTAATGAAAATTAGTACTAACTGCTATAGAACTATTATAAAAAAATATTGGCTATGCCTTGCAGGTTTCATACATCAAGAAAATGCTTGATAAAATCTGGGAGTAAGGTAAGAAAATGACACATTGCATTTTTTGTCTACAAAATCTTTTAACCACAAGAGGGCAACAGCTGCTCCTTTGCAGAGAACTGTTTTGGGTTACTATTCATGACAGTTGTTGTACATCAAATTAATGAGAGAGTATATTTTAAATATATTTGTTTATGATATTTAACAAATAGAAAATTAAAATAAGTTGAATTTTACCCCACTTAAATGTATGATAAGAGAAGAAATGTATTTGTAAACAGAACATTTATCTTACACGTATGTCATGCGTCGTTTGAAAGAGAAGGCATTACAAAGAAGTGCAATCTTTTTTTTTTTTAGCTAGAATAAAAACATTGCCATATGTATTAAAAATTTGACCTGCTGAAGACTATTTCACTTTCTGTGTACTCAAACTGCTATCTGTTTGCTTTACAGCTGAACTTGCTATTATTACAGGGGGAAAGATACATATGTCCTTCCTTACAGAAAATATAACTAGAAATTGTGCCCAAGAAAAACAGCCAGAGCAAGAAATATTTTCAATCCTTAGTTGCTTCATAGCTGTTCACCACATTTTGGTGCTTTCAAAACTTGTGAGCAGTACTTCATACTTGGGTTATATATTAAATATTTATATGCTTAAACTTATCCATCACGTAAGAAACTTTTAAAAAAATCATATTAAAGCAGGATTATTCTAGAAGCTGGTGTAGACTACTGGTTATAGTTGGGTCTTTTATATGAAAGTTATACTTCTCTTTTTGTTGTTGTTAGGTTTGTTGACTACCATTTCTGGCTTCCTTTCCTTGCCTTTGGATTAAGTCCAAGAGTATTTGTAAGCCCAGCAGCAGAGTTCTTTGATAATGTAGCTTTTGCTGAATCCTTGCAATGAAGCAAACTGATTCATCAGTAACTGATCACTTTTATTGTGTGAGCTGAAAATTTTATTTTTTATGAGAACTATAACAAAATTATCTGTATAAATAAATAATGTGTTAGCTTAAATTGGATCATCTTGCTTTTTGGCATCCCATGTCTGTACTGTACCAAAAGTGTTTATATGTCTGCAAATTAAAAGTTTATATTTTCATAATTTCTTTCTCATTTTTACCATTTTCTATTTGGCTTGTTCTTTCACTGAAGTGCCTGTTATTGGCATTTGTTTGCTTCTAGAGGTAAATGTTGGTATACTGTAAATATTCTGTGATGCTTAAGTTTACATTAAACTAATTCATTACTCAATTAAACATTGGATAAATTATTAAGTATGTGTGTAGTAATAGACATACACACACACACACACACACATATATATATATATACATATATATAAAGATAGAAAGAGAATATGCCTATACGTTTGCTAGAAGTTCATATGATAATTTACACCCAAGTATGTACAAATACATATTAATTTAATGAGTTAGTACCAATGATAAACATTTATTTTACTACATATAACAGTCCTGTTAGCTTTATTACAATAGTTTTCAATAAATTTTAAAATAAAAAGATATTGTAAAAAATAATTTGAATGCAAACACCTAAAAACTTTCAAATTTGTATCAACCTCATTTTTCTTGTTTTCTTCAATTTTACAATGTGAATAAAATGTAAGCATATGAGGCAGTAATATTTGTTATGAAAAGGGAGTATATTTTTATTAGAAACTTATTTTGTATAAGAGACACATGAACTAAGAAACTAAGATCATTGATCCCTAAAATTTTTCACTTATAATTGATGTCTAACTATTGAGGAAACCATTCTCTACCAGTCTTTTCTTTTTTTTTTTTTTCTTTCTTCTTATCTTATTTATCTTTTTTCTTTCTTTCTTTTTTTTTTTTAAAGAAGGAGCTACATATGAAACAAGGAGCACCATTAATTAAAAAAAAAAAAATCTCTACAAGTGCAATGATTTAACCATCAGTAAAAAAACAAACAACATAAAACCAAGATATTTTTTCATATCTAAATTTGGAGAAGGTTCATATGTTTTGGGGTAAGGACTTTATCTCTAGCATGAGAAACACCTGTAACTTAATAAAAAGATGTATTTCTGAAAAACTTGTGCCCAGATTTTCTTTACAAAAACATTTTATTCACATTAAAAACATTTATAACAAGGGAAGTTAAAGTAAATTAAGCTCAGAGATAATAGCTTCTTTTTACTAATACCTTGTGCTAGAACAGTTGCCAAAATGTATGCTAATCATGTCAATGTTGTTTGTTGAACTGGCATGAAAATAAACGTTCCATTCATTAAATAACCTAATCTCCATTTAACAGTTTGAGAACCAGGAATCCTCTTTGCCCAATTTAATGAAGAAGAGATTGCTCTGATCTTTGCACTGCCAAATGCATTCTTAAACCATAGAGAAAATTGTTCATTAATTTGGGTTGGGAAATTTAAAACTAACATAGCAATTTCAGCTCCAGGGAAAAAACAATTTACATTATTTGGCTCTTTAGGGTAGATTCCTTGACCCCCCCCCCCCTTTTTTTTTTAAATTAAAATATGTTTTTGTTGTGTGTGTGTGTGTGTGTGTGTGTGTGTATGTGTGTGTGTTTTGTCAGTTATACTTCTATCAGTGGTGGTTTAAAAGAAAACTAAAAAAACAAATGCTTCTTTTAAAATAGTTTTATAGTATTGGTATGTTTAAAAAAAAAAATCCAAATCCTTTGTGTTTTGGGAACTCTCCATGTGTTGTATAAAAACACCATTTATGATCTTGTTATGAAATGACATCACTGAAGCAGTATTAGGGATGGCGTATGAAGTTGGCTTGATGACAGTAAAATCTCTCTTAAAGATTCTAATTTGTGCTCCTGGAAAATATCTCAGCAGTCGACTCCTGTTAAAGCAGCCTATCCTCTGGAGACTTAGGTCCAATCTCTCCTCAGTGCGGTGAGGGGTGAGGACTCAGGGGAGTCTTGACCTTTGGCAGACAATGAAGAATATAATGAAAGGACAGCCTGAGCACAGTTCACTGGGCAGCCTCTGCTTGTGAAAGCCAGAGCCCAGACACCTAAGCATTTTCTTTCCTGTAGATTTGCTTACTGTAGGAAAGTAGTCAATTGCTCACAATTATTTTGCTGATTTGTGTAATTTCCGCCTATCAATATGCCTTAATAGTGTGGGGGATCAATAAGTATTTATTGAAAGAGACTGTCTTTCATTCATTTATGTAAAGCAGAAAAAATAATCAATTAAAAAGTTGGTAGTGCAACCCGGCCTGCGTGTCTCAGTGGTTGAGTGTTGACCTATGAACCAGAAGGTCAGTGTTTGATTCTGGTCAAGGGCATATGCCCAGGTTGTGGGCTTGATCCTCAGTGGGGGACATATAGGAGGCAGCAGATCAGTGATTCCCTTTCATCATTGATGTTTCTATCTCTCTCTCCCTCTCCCTTCCTCTCTGAAATCAATAAAAAAAATATTTAAAAGAAAAGTTGATAGTTCCAGAGCAAAAAGACCCATCTTGTATTTTCTAGTTATTTCTATTTCTGATTTTTAAACTTTATATTTCAGATGCTGTATACATAAATACATACAGTCTATAATCATTTTTAAATGACACTCATCCTATATAATAAAAGCCTAGTATGAAAATTGACCCCTCCACTGGGAGTTCAACGAGAACTTCAACCACAGGACAGGGCCAGTCAGCCAACAGCCCACTGCCCCTCCCTCCAGCTGGCGCGGCCTGATTGGCCTGATTGGGACGGGCCTCGCAGACACCACCTGTGCTCGAATTCATATACCAGGCCTCTAGTTGTATATAATTGCTTTAAAAATGGTAGCATGGTCCTAACTGGTTTGGTTCAGTGGATAGAGCGTCGGCCTGTGGACTGAAGGGTGCCGGGTTCGATTCTGGTCAAGAACATGTACCTTGGTTGTGGGCATATACCCAGTGCAAGGTGTGCAGGAGACAGCTTATCTATGTTTCTCTTTCATAATGTTTCTAACACTCTATACCTCTCCCTTCCTCTCTGTAAAAAATTAATGAAATATATATATTTTTTAAAATGGTAGCATGTTTTTCTTTGATAAACTCCTAAACTGGGAATCTATTCCTTTGAGATGTAAAACAAAAATGGATAAACCTTAAAAATAATTTTAAATATGTTTTCATTGATTTTAGAGAGAGAAAGGAAGGGAAAGGGAGAGAAACTGATAGGCTGCCTCCTGCATGCCCCCTACCAGGGACCACAACCTGGGCTTGTGCCCTGTCTGGGAGCTGAACCAGCACCTCTTGGTGCACAGGACAACACTCAACCAACTGAGTAACAATAGTCAGGGCTGAATGAATTTTAAAGACTTAACCCACTAATACCAAGAAGTAAGAATACTGCAAAAATTAAAAAAGAAATAATTTAGTCATTCCTTCTATGCATGTTTGTTTTAGTACTCTAATTACCAGGGGTGTGACGGAGAAGAAGACAGAACCCCTGGATGAATTTAGATTATGGTGTAAAAGGTCGATGAGAAAACCTTCTTATTTCAAAACATTGTGTAAGATAAATACCTATTGCCAGAATGCATTGTAAGAAGGACCTAACCCAGTCCTGGGAAGTGTTGAAGAAAGCTTTCCAAAGGAGGTAATTTCTAAGTTGGGCCCTTTTAGAGGAGGTAATGTTTAAACTGAGTAGATGAGAGAGTAAGGAAGAGAAAATAGTGTGCAAGGCTCCTGTAAAAGTATCATGATAAAAGAACCACAAATGTTATTAGTCTTGGTTGATAGGATAAACAGAATGAAAGATAATGTTGAGAGAGCTTGGAGATACAAGCGTAATGCAAACGATAAAGGGATTCATATCATACTTGGAGTTTGAAGTTTTATCCCACGGGTGATGGAAATTTTAAGGATTTTGATCAGGGATTTTTTTTTTTAACCCACTTTGGCCATGTGTAGAGTTTGTATTGAAGAAGAATCTGGAGACTTGTTAGAAGGCAGTAGTGACACTTTAAGTGAAAGATGGAGCCTTAAATCAGGGAACATGAAAGTGATGCATTATAGTATGAAATATGGTGGGTAAATATTTTATAACTAATAAACTTTGTATACTAATAGAGTTAAACCACATGTGATAAACCAGAAAATGTATAATTTTCTTATTTCCTTTCAAGCCTATTTTACATATTTGAAAAGGGCAGGAGACTCATTTACCCAACATTACATCAGCAATGAAAGCATAGGAGCCATAACTCCCTTTTTAATGTTGGGTTTTATGATCCAGATGGAATTTCAAAGACATTAATTTACCCAGTTTATTTCATACTTATGACTGTCAATTCTACTCAATTTAATAAACATTACTGTCGGCTCATGTGGTAGATATTCCAACATGAGGTTGACTGCATCAAGAATATTATATTTAAGGCATTTCTTGCTTGTAGTTGCACTAAAAGATTCCACCTGCAGATAAGTTGAAAATTGAAGAAAAATGATTTTAAAAAAAAAATCCAGTGTACAACATAAGATGTAAATATAATTTCACCTGTTGTGTGATTATCAAGAAAGAATGACATATCGTGCAGGTAATTAATTCTAAGCAATATCCAGGAAATATGGGTAGTTAGGGCAAAGAAGTATATAGGCCTTGAGATCAAATATCACTTTTAATTTTAAAAGTCCTTTATTATATTTTATGCCTCATTTTGCAAAAAGTAATTAGAATGATTTACAGTCATGATAGGGTGACAAGTGTGCTTTAGAGCCTTGGTACTCAATGTGTGGTTGGCAGAAAGATAGCAGCAACAACATCTGGTTGCTTGTTGAACATGAAGAATCTAAGGCCCAACCCAGGTCTATTAAACCAGAATCTGTATTTAATAAGATCCCCAATTCATTTGTTTGTAAATTAAAAGTTGATAAAGATGCATTTGGAGCATTGCCTCACAAGCTTGCCTGCATGTTGAAATAACCTGCAGAGTTAAAACAGGTTCCTCTCCCTAACTGAATTGCCGTGGAGTATAGGATGGGAGATAGGATCTTTATGAACTGCCCCAGGAAATTTGAATGTGCAGCAAAGTTTTAGGATCACCACTTTAGAGTTCCGTTATTCCTGTAACTTGCCATGTTTACTTGGTAC